TGTGTGCAAAGATGGCTTGGAGGCAGCGGTCCCTCTAATAATAGAGTTCCTGGTCCCACCAGCCTGGGAGAGAGAGAGAAAGGAGACTCAGTGCTGGGGGGATTCGGGTCAGGGTGGGAGCCAGGGACTCAGAGCTTATGGATCAGGGGTGGTTTGATATGGAGGGTCAAGGGCTTGGAGGTCAAATATTGAAAATCAAAGGTCAGGGCTGCTCTGAGAATGTTCCAGCCCTCCACCCCCAGATCCCAGGTCTCCACACTCACTCCCTGGGCAACAGCGGACTCCAAGTTTCCGAATCTCATCATAGACGAAGATTAGGATGCCATAGGGCATGGGGACCAGCCACCACTGGTACCTGAAGGCACAGGCGAGATGGCAAGGTAAAAGCTATCCCCAGGTCTGTGTCCTGCATGCCCACCCCTCTTCTCACAGGTCACAACACCTCACCGAATGGGCATGAAGTTGAAGATGTTGGGCATTCCGGGGCAGTAGCATAGGAAGCAGCCAATGCAGACCTGGAACACGATGGCAATAACCAGGATCCTGTTCCTGCAGGTGGAGCAGGATGGGACAGGCTCAGGCTGACAGCCTCAGGACAAAGATAGGCCATGGGGACCAGATGGAAATCAGGGTACTGAGTCAAAGGAGGTCAGATGTCATCAGCAGGGAGATGTTCTAAACATTTAACACTGGCATAGCCCAAACCTCTCCAACAGTGGACGCCGGCCCTGTCAGCATCACCCCTTCAGTTGATGCAACATCGAGGGGCCAGTTGAGAGGCCCATGGTGGAAGCTATTGGCCAGCTGTCGATAAGATATCTTAGCACATGGCACCAGCATCCAGTGCTGGTGTTTGCCAGCTGCAGTAAGCCCTGGTCAGGATCTGTTGGGAGCTGGGACCAGGGCTTAGAGGGCAGGGTGGGGTGGGGGGTGGGGCTGGGGCCAGCTGGGGACACCTGAAGAAGCCCTGCTGGAAGGCAGAGAGGCGGCGTGTCTTGCGGATAAGGACGTCGGCAATCTGGCACATCTCGATGCTGATGAAGAACACGGTGTAGCAGGTATACTGCTGGTACAGGCGCTGCCGGAACGTCTGTGGGCCAGGAGGGAACAAAAGCAGCCTGAGCCCAGGCAGAGAGCCTCTCAGGGCCTGGGGCCATGAACCCCTAAATGCTCTGAGGCTGGGGTGCAGGGAGAATAGAGATGCAGGATCTGCCAGGTTTGCAGGACTCCAGAGTGTGGGACCTAGAAACTTGGTCTAGCAGAGCTTGGATGTCAGTGCCTGGGCAATCAGTGGGTTGGGCCAATTGCTTTCATAATGGAAAGAGGGATGTAGAATTCCCTGGGCACCAGAAAAGAGGCACCTGTGAAGGGAATCAGAATCCTGAGGCAGAATTTGCCAAGTCCAGTGACTCCAAGGCCCTGGCAGATGGCAAAAATGAATGAAGTGGACCAGGTGGGCCTTTGAGGAAAAAGGCACATGCCTCATTTAAAAAGGACAGCCACTTGCAATCAGATATTGTTTAACAGATGGAGTGGTTTCTGTTGGACACTAAGTACTGCTACAAACTGAAAAAAAAAAAGGGCAGCCACTATTCAGTCCATTTCTTCAATATAACTATTTTTATATATACCAGCTAGCTATGTAAGGAACACTTACTATGCTCCAGGTACCAAGTGTTTCACGCGTATTATTTAATCTTCCCAATAATCCTATGAAGTAGATTGGTGGTATTCAAACTTCAACACACATCAGAATCCCCAGAAGAGCTGGTTGAAACACAGGTTCCACCCCTAGAGTATCTGACGCCAGAGATCTGTTACTGGTAGGGCAGAGAGGACCCATCTGCAGCCGGGGTCATCAGAAGCAGGAGTTTGGAGCTCGAGGGCCCCTTACCCCAGAGCTGGCAGAGAGCCTGGGTGTCTGGGAGGTTCTGGCTGAGCTTAATCACACGTGGAGGAGTGAGTGTGGGCCACATTCAAGGTGGGTGGCATTGGAAACGAGGAACTCATGGAATGGGGCAGGGTAGGGGCTCACCCACTCCTGGCCATAGCTGTCCTGCAGATCTTGTAGGTGGTGGTCCTCCCACTGTGGCCGCAGCCCCACACACAGCAATGGGAACCAGCCCTCCTGGGCCATGGCCGTGAAGTAGTCAGTGAAGCCGGCAAATGACTGGATGGCACCTGAGAGACAGGCAGGGAGACACAGGGAGACAGAGATGGAGACACAGAGAGGCAGGGTCAGGGACACACACACAGAGACAGGAGCACAGAAACTAGCATGGAGACAGACAAGAACACAAATAGTGACAGACATGGAGGAAGAGATACAGAGAAAAGGACTCCCAAGACAGTGCGACAGGGACATGAGAGTCAGGGACAGAGACACACCCAGAAAGCCCCCAAAAGACAGGAGGCATTGATCCTGAGACCAGGTCTGGAGAATGAGGCCAAAGACAGGAAGGGACATGGGAGACCATAGAGACAATCATGTGCAGACAAGGACTCAGAGAATGACAGAGAACTAGGGTCAAACACAGGCACTGAGATCCAGAACAAGCCAGAGCCCCAGTTAGAGCCCCATGCAGCCCTGCCAGAGAGCCCAGCCTCCCTGGGTGCACACCGATCTGGAAGTAGGAGTAGGCAGCCAGGGGCTCGTTGACCAATCGGTCACGCTTCGGGTTCCGTGGACGCAGGTGCATGATGTCACTCTCGGCCTTCTCATATGCCAGGGACACAGACGGGAACTGGGCACAAGGGGAAGGAACCAGGGTTGAGGGTTTGCCTGGGCCCTTGTCCAGATGCCCTGGAGCCCCCCTACCCACAGCAGGGGGCAGGGATAGAACTGAGGTTAGGAGGCAGGACCCACAGGGACCACAAAGCCACACCTGCCTGGACAGCCTGAATCCAGCTGGCCTTTGTCAGGAATGCTGGCATGTCCAGTCCACATGTGTGTCCACATCTGTCCTGGTGTCCATCTCCATCAGAACATCTGCATTTATCTCGGCTATTATGTGTTCTCTTTCTCTGCCTTCCTCCCTCCCTTTCTCCCCTTCCCCTTCCTGTCTGTCTGTTTCTTCTCTGGCGTCCTCTGGTCTCGGCCTGTTTCCCTGCTGCACTCTATCTCTCTTTCTGTCCCCTACTCTCTTCTTTTTATTCCCATCTCTAGTCTCTTTCTCTGTGACTGCATCTCTGTGTCCCTGTCTCCGTCTCTCTCTACCTGTGTCCTCCTCCCCCACCACATCTGTTTGTGACCACAGAGTGGCAGCAGAGTGTACCGACTGCCTGGGCTTGAATCCCAGCTGTGACATGGGACAAGCCGTTCAACTGGTCTATGCCTCAATTATCTTATCAGTAAAATGGGGGTGATAAACAGATAAAGTTCATCTCATAGTGTAGTTATGAGGAAAAAAGTAATAAACGTGTGACTGGCCCAGAGTAGACACTATGTAAGCATTGTTGAATAAATACATTGTGACATGGCCATGCATCTGGCTGCATTCGTGGCTGTGTCTGTGGCTCTTTCCTGTCTGTCTGCCTTGGGGTCTATCTGATACTCTTTATCTGTCCATGTCTGTTGAGGGATGTCTGTCTGTGATCCAAGTTTAGCCAGATTTCTATGTCTGTTAAAATCTCTGTTTAAGTGTCCATATCTGAGTCCACGTGTGTCCATGAGTCGGCCCATACCTACCTGAGTGTCCACCTGTGTGTCCATGTCTGTAATTCTGTCCGTGGCTACCTTCCTACCTGCCCGTGTGTCCCCATCTGGCTGTCTGTATCACTGTGTCCAAGAATGTCCGTAATGGTCTCTGTCCATCATACGTGTCTGTGGGCATATGTCTCTGGGCACTATGTGGGTGGGGCCATCAGGACTGTAAACTCACGATGTCGGTACAGAGTTCTATGAAGAGGATGGTGATGCACCCGAGGGGCAGGGGCACGCTGACAGTGATGTAAATGAGGTACGGTGTCAGTTCAGGGATGTTCTTGGTCAATGTGTAGGCAATGGACTTTTTCAGGTTGTCAAAGATCAGCCGGCCTGTGGGGGTACAGCAGGGAGCTCAGCCTTCTCGCAGCCCCCTTCCTCCTGTGCCCACACCTGCCTGCCCCCATCTCTGACCGGCCCGGACCCTGCTCCACGCCTGTCACAATGGAGGCAAAGTTGTCATCCAGCAGGATCATGTCGGCTGCATTTTTGGCAGCGTCTGAGCCAGCAATGCCCATGGCCACACCGATGTCTGCCTTCTTCAGGGCTGGGGAGTCATTCACACCATCTCCCGTCACAGCCACAATTGCACCCTGCAAACAGTGGGTACAGGTGGGTGGGTGGTCAGTGAGAGAGCAACCTAGGGCCAGCCTAGCCCACCTGCCTGGCTTCATGAGCAGGGTCGCACCAGTCGCTGGCAGCTCTCCACAATCACCAGCTTCTGCTGGGGACTGGTACGAGCAAACACCATCTCAGGGTGGGTACGCAGTGCTTCTACCAGCTCTGATGGGTCCATGTCCTTCAGCTGCATGCCATTGATCACACAGGCACGGGCATCCCTAGAGAAGGAGGTAGGAAGTGATCACTGGAACCTTAGTCTCTATGGGGTGTGGGAAGAATCACAGGGAGGGCTGAAGGGGGCTTACTTCCGATTAACCTGGTCCACAGGCACACGGAGGCGAGCAGCGATGTCCTCCACCGTCTCACTGCCTTCTGAGATGATGCCCACGCTGGCTGCAATGGCCTTGGCTGTGATGGGGTGGTCGCCCGTCACCATGATCACCTGTGGGGGGAACCATCAGACCCTTGACCTCTTCAGGACAGCCCACTCTCACTGTCCTCCCCAGTGGATATACCCCAGCCACAGAGATTGGTTCAGGGATGAACATGTGACCCAATCTTGTACAACTGCAAAAGAGGCACTCTTTTCTTGGGGTGGGGGATGGCTAAAGAGGTGGGATGTAAGTTGGAGCTACTGGAGGGTGGTCATCTTTATCCACCTAAATGGAGGGACTGCTTGAGAATAAAACCAGCAGAGCTGTGACATGGAGAAAGGCAAATTCTTAATGACATTGCACTCATGGATCCAGCTATACCTGAACCTTCAGTGCCCAGAATTTTTCAATTCTTGAACCAAGATAGCTTTTGTGGTTCAAGTAATTTTCAGGTGGGTTTCTGTCACAGGGTTCCTCATCCCCAAATACTGCCATCCTCTGTCCTCACCCTGCCTGGTCCTCTCCCCAGTGGCATACCCGGATGCCTGCTGTGCGGCACTTGAGCACAGCATCAGGGACGGTGGCCCGAGGTGGATCTATCATGGATACGAGTCCCGCAAAGCACAGGCCACTGGTTGGAAAGTTCATGGCCTCCACGTCGAAGGCATAGCCATGCGGGTAGTCCTTCTCATTCATGTAGAGCTGACAGAAGCCTGACCAGAAAACAGGGAAGTCAGAGAGGAATCCTGGGTGGGCTCTTCCATAGCAAGGGCAGCTGATGAGTAAGATAACCAGGTGCCTCACACCCAGCACCTATGGATGCCTGATCCTGTGCTGAATCCTTCATTCACATTACAGTCGGCCCTCTGGGGTTGGGTTCCACATCCATGGATTTAATCAACTGTGATCAAAAATATTTGGAAAAAAATTCCATAAAATTTCAAAAAGTAAAACACATTTGCCACTCACCGGCAACCACTTACATAGCATTTACATTGTATTAGGTATTAGAAAGTTGTATGCAAATACTATACCATTTCATATAAGAGATTTGAACAACCACAGATTTTGGTATCTGTAGAGTGAGGGTGTGGGGGAGTGTGGCAGGTGTTCCAGAATCAATTCCTGTGGATGCTGGAGGAACAACTGTATCTGAATCCATCCTCACAACAACTCCGTGAGGCTATTAGCAACCTCATCTTGCAGATGAAGAAACTCAGGTTTAGAGAAGGGACATTTCTTGCCAGATGTCACACACCAAGTAAAGATGCAGAACTGGACCACAGGTTTGTGCCTTCCAGGGTTAAGGCAGGGGTTAGGGATGTTTAAGGAGTCAAGACAAAAACTGGGAGAGGAGTGTCAGGAGTCAGGACCAGTAAAAGTCTTGGGGAAAGTTTTGAGTTGAGGCAGGGACTGGGGAAGGTCAAAGAATCAAGAGGAGGACGCTGAAAGGCAGAGGTGAAAGCAAGGGTGGATGATCAGTTGGGGCAAGAGTTAGGAAAAATCAAGGGTTCACAGGTCAGGTTGGGATAGGTAAGGTCCAGGTGAGCACAGGTTGGGATGGGTTGAATCAAGGTAGGAACTGACAGGGCTCAGGACTGAGATATGGAAAGTCAAAGATGAATGTGCAGATTGGGGCAGGTCAGCTGTCAACCAATGATGGGGAAGATTAGGGTCAAGGCTGGGCTATGAACACTGGGCAGGGTCTGTGCTAGCTCCTCCTTGTACACGGGTTCACCCTCTCGGCCGGCTTGGGGGTCTCACCCAGGACGCGTTCACCCAGGCCTCCCAGGCTGAGGTAGGCAGTCTGGAAGGCCTCGCGCCATTGCTCATCCAGTGGCAGCTCCTGGCCCTTGATGAGGATGGAGCTACAGCGCTCCAGCACGCGCTCAGGGGCGCCCTTCATCACAAGCACGTGCCTCGGGTCGCGTGGGTCCTCCAGTGTGTGGATGGACAGCTGCGGGCGGGAGAGGAGGCGGTGTTGTGGGCGAGGTCAAGGGAGAGGGGCGGGGCTTGGCTGACAGCGCTGCCCGTAGAGCCTTGGGAGGGGGCAGGTGGCCATGGAGGGTGAGGCGCTTGCTTGCTGGGTAGGTCCTTGTTGTGGGCTGAGGATTGGGGCCGGCCTGGGGGCGTAGGTAGGGGCCTGGGCGTGGGAAATGGGCAGAATTAGGGCCGGAGTTGAGCTGGGGCTGGATTTGGTTTGGGAGCGTCTTCCCACCGAGGGCCTGACAGCTGAGAGCCGGAGGAGCGCCCTAGCTCTCGGTGGGCTTCGGCTGTGGGCGGGACAGGAGATGTGGGTGGGGTTTGGCTGTGGAGTGGGAGGGGACTGAGAGCGAAGCCTAGCCGAAGGCCCGCGCTGAATGGGGGGGGGGCATAGTAGGCGGGGCTTGCTGTGGGCTGGACTGGGGCCGCGGCAGGTGCACACCTGGAACTTGTTGGTGGAGTTGAAAGGGATCTCGCAGACTTTGGGGAAGCGCTCGCGGTAGCCCATGGAGTTGCCCAGCGTCAGCTCCGAGAACTTGAGCAGCGCAGTCTCGGACGCGTCTCCTATCACGATGCGCTGGGAAAGAGGGCCAGGGTCAGGAGAGATCCTGGCTGTACCAGGCTCTCGGGATCCCCCGAGTCCCCCGGGGCTCTCACCTTGGGCACGGGCACTGCGTCCTGGCCGGACTTGAAGGCAGCGCGGTTGCATAGGGTGAGCACGCGGCACAGTGCCCGCCACGTCTCCGAGGACTGATCAAACGTCTGCCCTAGAGGTCAAGCGTCCAGGCTGGGGCCGCGAGGAGGCTCTCCCATATCAGAACCAAGCCCATCCCTCTAAATTCAGGATTGGATCCCAGCCCCAGACCTGGGTGGGACCCAAACCCCACCTCTTACCCTGGGACGAAGCCTTCCCTCCAGACTCAGTAAAAGTCTCTTATGAGCAATACCAAGCCCCTTCACAGACCTGGAGCTGAGCCCTCTCCCTGGACCCAGGACCCACGACCTGGCCCTTTCCCAGATCGAATGGAGCTCCCTCTCCATTAAGGCAAAGCCCTTCCCAGGCTCCCTTCAGTAACCTCGGAGCTCCCATCCAGGACTCCACCCTCTACCAGATCCTGCCCCAGGGCCTGTCTCCTCCCACCCCACACCTGACTGGTCTTCCGTGGTGTCTGCGGAGTGGATGTGGTTGTCGAACCACAGATGGGACACAGTCATGCGGTTCTGAGTAAGGGTCCCCGTCTTGTCAGAACAGATCACTGACGTGGAGCCCAGGGTCTCCACTGCTTCCAGGTTCTTGACTACACAGTTCTTGCTGGCTAGCCGCTTGGCTGTCAGGGACAGGCAGACCTGGGGGAAAGATGAGAAATGCAGGCTCAAGGACGAAGACTTGCTTCCCTCCTTTCACAGCACTGGGGATCCTTCACCCTAGCCACAGCACTGTGTATGCTGCATTCCTCTGCCCAAACCAGGCTTTTTCTTGCCTCCAAGCTTCTGTCCAGCCTGCGCTTTCTACTTGGGATGCCTCCCCAATCTGCCCAGATAAACGTAGCCAGGCCCCTCTCTAAGCTGCCCTAGCTGAAGTTCTATGAATTCTCTTGTCAACATAATCAAAATGAGAAAACTAACATTCCCTGGGACTCCCTTGGCCGGGCCTCAGGCTGGGTGCTGACTGTTGAAAGCCACTCACAGCCTTTCAACACCAGACCTCAGCCTTCTCCTGTCAAAG